ATTGATGGTAATATACACAGAGGTCAGTTAGTATTCTTCGGCATCTAAGAAAAAAGATTTCTGTAAACTGATTGACTAACTGAAAATATCTTGAATGTGCCTAAATTGAGAGATATACAGGACGAACGATAAAACTATACCTAATAAGAAAATGTCGAATATTGACCTAAAGGCTTTGTCAAATTTATCATTTCCTCAAATAATCATTGTTTCAGTACGCTGATAAGTAATAGAAATATAATCAGAAAAAAACTTGTTAGAAGTATTCTTGGTGAATTGACAATATAGGTGGATAATTATATCGTAGTGATTTTATTTTAAATGAAGAAAAGTTCAATTTGGTTTGTGAATAAACGACAAAAATCGAATCCTATTTTCTAATACGAAACCCGAATAATGAACTTTATCGATTTCGACATCCATACTACTGATATTGATCAACACAAAATAACATTTAAATTTGTTGCAGAGCTTCATCACGTGCACATTGGGCGTTCAATATGTTGGTAAGTATGAGTTCAATTTCTACTCGAATGATAATTTATTTTCTTCTTTATTTTTGTCATAGTCGTCCTGTATGCTTCATACTTTCATCGCTTCTCTTTTATGCAATATATGTGGTCATGCTTGTGTGGAAGCTGAACTCTTCACAGTCATATGTGCTGTATATTCTCGCTTGCATAGCTGGCTTGTCATCGGCACTTATCAATCCGCCTATATCAGGTTTGGAAGCCTCTAGAAATCATGCGACCAGATAGGGTCAAATAGCAACAGGGCCTGCTCATATTGGTTAAGATGAAGGAGGATGATAAAGCATGCGGGACCCCGCACAGACCATCATGAATATTTTGAAAGTATTCATAATACCCTGTTGAATATCGCGAGCCCTCATGCTATATTATTTTGCTCTCCATTCTAATGGTTTTATGATGTTTCACACTTTAGTCCCGTAAGAATTTCGTTTAAAGTTTTTTTTTAGACGAAATTGAATCATTACTGTGTGAAATAATCAAAAACAAAAATATTGATTTTTGACAAAATGAAATTCGAAAAAGAAGCTATGATATCATCTTTCTTTCGTTTGAAGTTTGAGAATTTTGAATACCACATTCTTCTGTCAGGATGAATATTTATATGAACGAAGCTATTGTTCTTCAAATGTTACAATAGAAAATTCGACGTATACTTTCTGTGGTGCTTATTCAGTACATAACTGTAAACAAAGCCTTTCATAAAAAATGCATTAATACTAGCAATTTTTAAAAGTTCAAGTTGATCAAAACTTTTCCTCTAGTTAGGCGAAAACTTAATAAAATTTACTTCTTTTGTTTCTGTTAAACATTGACATATTTTTTTAAAATATCTTTTCTCTTCCTGTTGTCTTGATCTAATAATAAGGAACGTATCTAAATTTGAATCTATAATACTTGTACAAATATTTTATTGTCAAACACTGTTTGCTTACCGACAATGAATGTATCATAAAAAAAACCAACTGATAAAATAAGAGCATTTTTCAAGTGAGTTTTCTAAATTAGTACGTAGATTATTCAAACCAGTTTCAATATAATTATTATATGCCTTCCAATAATAGAATATCATTTTGTCAATGTTTTGTTTTGCTTAATAGAAAAGACTTTTCAACCTAGAGGTACATTGATACTACGAAGTGATATACAATGAACAAATAATCATGTGTATTTGTTGTTTTTCTTTCAGCTTTGTATGGTACTATATTTGCTGATTCAAAAGAAATATCTTTTTCAACCTATTCATTACTTCAGAATGTTGGTTGTGTGATTGTTTATGCTTATGCCCCATCATTGCATGTTCGTGTATCGATCATTCTACAATTGCAACAACTCTTCTTAATAGCATAGTAATGATTAACTGAAATAAGCCTTCTTCTTAATTATCTTTAAACAAAGAAAGAAATAGACAAATAGCATGTAAACTCTATATTATGTGACCATTTTCAAGAAATTCAGGTTTTTTTTAATATTATTTATTCGAAAAGAAAGCAAAGCTTTTATTAATTGCTCTATTTACAGACTATAGGACATATGTATCCTATTGATCAAAAGGTTTTAATAATCATCGCTTCTAGTATGAGAAAGTTATAAAACTACAACATCAGTTTTTTTTTCATACTGCTACAAATCATATAAAAACTGGATTTTTGAACAATGTCTTTCTCTTTTCGTTTCAAACGCTTCAGAATGATCGAAAATATAAAACTATTATCAAAACATATAATAAATTTGTTCAAAAAATGATATCTATATTTATAATGAACCTACAGTAAAAATGATAGTTAGACGAGAAGTTCTATTTTTTTTAAGGACTTCTCAAGAAGGATGCCTACATATTACCTAAATTATTTTTTGGTACATAAATGCAAGATAAGACCAAAAATTAGACAGAATGATATAGAGAATTTGAAGTTCTATCGAAAAGTACGCTTACTTTGGTGAAAATTTCTTTCGATAGTAATTATTATTTAAAAAAGCAACGAATTGTCATATTTGTTAATTGAGAGTCGAGAACTTTCAGAATATATATTTGTTTTATTAAAGATGTGTGATTACATTGATGATATATTCAAAATATCGACTGGAGCAGTTTTTTTTTTCTGGAGTATTTATATATTTATACGTGTGCTCATTTTAATCTTAACCTATTTTCTAGTAAATTGTCGTCGAAATCAAGCTTAAGGTAAATTTAACTATTATCGTCATCAGAGTGAAATTCACTAAATTTCGATTAAATTTTATTTGTTATCAAAATAAACTCTACGTAATATTGATTATAATTTCAATTTTTCAGGATCAGATGTATATTTCCTTTTTAAAACATTGTTTGACAACAAAGTTTAATAACTGCTATGATTAAATTGAGATGATCAACACACAGTTGGTACATATCTTTAATGGAATGTTTTCTATTATCTTTTCTATTGATATTTATATCAAGAGAATATAATCGAAGATTTTTCAATTAAGATTTCATTCAACTTCTAAATATAAGAATTTTTTCATAAAATAAATAGAAACATATAAATAATTTTACAATTTTAGGTTATCTTGATTTTGAACTATTGAAAAATATTTTTAAGAGATACTGCTAATACTTCGATTAAATGAGTTTCGAATGAACTAAGAATTTCATTCTATAGAAAAAAAAAAACTAATCTTTTGAATGATTACAAAATTCATTAAAATATTTTCATTTATTCAATTGTTGAAGATTTGAATTTAATGATTTTGATAAATTTTGAACAAACATTTGAATTAGCAATCATTAGATTGTTGAAAATTGCATTGAATTTATAAGAAAATTTTAATCATTATCTTTAATATTTGATTGATATAAATGAATCAACATGTTCCAATTTTTGTTCAAATGACTTTAATTTCAGAACATCTTTATTATAAAAAGTTTTGATTGTATCCTAAAACGACTGTTTCAATTAAGTTTGCATTGTCAGAAAAGTCAACAATTTCAAAACATTATACTTCATATATTGATTCGTTTTAGAGATATCTATCGCTGACATATATATGACACGCATGTAAATGTCAACGAAGTATTTTCATGTACTTGCAGAATAATCAGAACTTTTCTAAATGTTGCATGACAATGCAAAAACGTTTGTAAGTACAATAACTATTACCAAAGCGATTCTGAATCGATAGGCAAATTTCAACTATATTGCAGTTAACATGTTGATTCATGCAAGAAATGTTCTTTTCGACATGTATTCATTTAGTGTTCGTTAAAATCAGATCGTCCTTCAATTTAACAAAACCATATTAACATAAAAATCGTCTTCATCTTTTTTTCAACTCTTCATTTTGATTAACATTGATATAAACATGTTCCTAATAGTTATTAGACTATAATAATAACCTTCAGTTTTCATTGTACTTCTAATATAAATAGATAGTCGATTAGTGAAGAAGTTGATTTTAAAAAACATAGCAAGTATGTTCAATTCTTCTCTCTGGAAAAAGACTAGTATGTGTTTATGTATGGCTTTCTAATCGAATTTTTTTCTTATGTATTTGGCATGTGCACAGACCTCAAGATATATCCCTATCAGATGACTTTCTTGCTCAAGATAAGCAAGAACTTCATGAGCATGACAAAAAAAAGTTTGACTAGAGTTGCTACATATGCTCTCGTTTTTAGGTCTTTCTAAAATTTTCTTACATACGTATGTGACAATAAAATACATATACAAGCAGATATTTCCATAGTGTGTTATCTCGAATATACATGTAGCATTTTACGAGCAGCTGTATCAAATTTTTCAAAACTTTTACGTTGGATTTGGCAGTCGATTTAAAAACTAACTCATGTTACTTGTGTAGTCGGTGTAATAAACAAATATCAATCACTTGCTCGTGCACATTGATGGTAATTTCAATGGCGATCGATATTTTTCTTTTTTCTGTCTATGTCAAGCAATCAAGATGAATCTAGAGATAAATGCGTCACAATGGCTTTTGCTGTTTTGTATTCTATCGCACAGGTTTCATTCATGCATTTATTCATATAATGAATGTGGCTGATCAGTGGATATTTACTGAATCAAATATAAATATTCTATAGGGACAATCCGTTGATTCAATCTCCAAAAATTTCTTTTATAGAATTTACTATTTTGAATTATTCAGTGAAGATTAGATACATTGATTAATAATCTGAAAAATAAAGATAAAAAAGGGAAGAATATTCCGTTTAACAGAAGAACTAAAATTTTCGAACATGATCAATTCATTATTCTAACTGTGAAAATCTTCTTCATAGTTGAGATCAAATTCGACTTTGCTAGATTTTCTTTATTAAAATTTATTCAGTATTCAAAAAGAACTTTCTTATAGTTTTAGAGAAAAAACAAAAGGAAAAATGTTAAATTTTATTGTCAACTTTAAATATTGAAGTTTAGTCAATTTTAAATCATATGTCATTTGTCATAATCACATATTAAAAGTCTTTTAACAAGCAACAATCAGTTCAACACCATAATGATCAGAAAGACTTGTTATAATCGTTCCATTTCGAGTACTAATTGTTACTCGATTATCAAATATACGTCGTGTAAATAAATCACAAGAATGAAACATATTTCCATGTGTAAAAATATGATCATATATATAGTTAACAGGAAAATGAACAACAAGATTATCTGTACATCGTGTACAAAGACTATGCATTTCTGTATAATCATCATACCATCTTCTTGATCCATCAGTATCAATTAATTGATGTATATAATTCCAACTATCAGCTTGTATTGCTAATACATTATGTTCAAAATTAGCAATACCCATATTGAAATCACCTGCCATAATAACATTTTTATATTTTCGTCTATTATTACGGAATAAATTCCAAACAATAGATTCAAGTTCTATAGTTTGACCTTTATTTTCTTCATTCCAACTACCATATTTATTATTAAAAAATGTTCCTTTAGGTACATGAGGAAAAGGTGTTTCAACTGTAGCCACATGTGTATTGGAAATAATTAATTGTTTATTTTCTACACTAACAATAATATAACCACGAGGAAAAAGATAATATTCTGAAAAAAGATTAGCAGCTAGTTTTTTTAATGGATATCCTCTTTTTGCTAATATCATCAAACCAATTGTATGATCCCATGGTTCTTCAGTTGAAATATGAATAATACCTGATGAAGTATTATTCAATTTAGGTAAAATAATTGCACCACAATAATTGAGAGCTGATGGATCTTGACGACTAATAAATCTTTCAAAAATACATGCCCAACATTTTGAATTTGTATAAAGGGCTAGAAA